CTGTAACAGATATTGATGTGCGGTTTTCACCATCATGTTTTTGATGAAAATTGAGCTTCGGACACCGATATTAGTTTTCGTCTATCCTATAGAAAAGGGTGTTTCCATTTAAAAGCGTCGAATTTGACCCACCCTGTACAGTCACTCCACATAAGGCCTGGACAACCCGGACTATACACCCTTCCTACCAGAGATCAGGGAAGGATACAAGTATCGGGGGGCGGGAGCAACTGGAGAAGGACACGCCCCTCAACTTTGAGCGAACGGAAGAGAAACTTGTGGAGACTTTATCAGCATTCCTTGCCTTGGACCTGACAACTCACCAAATAAACACCCTGCACAGTCATTCCGCCTGTGACTTACGTGACTGCAAATATATTCCCATACGAGAAGCGCAGCACAACGTTAAAACGGTGTTGGGAGTTGGATGGTAGAGTAAAATTGCTGAACGGTAGTAGGTGGAAATTGTTGGTGAAAAAGGCTGAAGGGGAAAACTTCATCCTATGCTGAAGTGTACATGCCGGTCAATAAGGGCGGTCTGGGAATCCGACCCATAGAGCATGAGACGGAGATCGACTTTGTAAAAAAGGGTATACAGGGTGTGGTGACAATTTCGATGCTCAACATTGGCATCTCAGAAACTACGAGAGATACGAATTCGGTTAAATGGGACAAAAGTTGCGTAATTAGAAGTTTGACAAACACCTATGAAGAAAATCCCGGTATCTTGATTAGTTCCGGATTTATGTCAAAATAATGAAAATAGTACGTTTATTTTAAATTTTAAATGACAATATCTTTAGAACACTACCTATCACAACCTATTGCAACGTAAGTTAGTAGTTTTATATTTTTGACCTGGGCCAATTAAATGCCGTTTTCAGAAATGTTCTAAGCCTTCTAGATTTCCCACAACAAGAGTCAAGTTTTTGTTTTCTTATGGTCGTCATTTTGAATTTTTATATTATTAGATAGAGCGAAAAAAAATATACGGTGGTATCTTTGTGGTGTAGCGTAGCGGTAGTGGTATCGGGTGGTAATTTTTATTAATTAGAGTGTAAATTCTGTAAAAAAATAGATTTTTTAAAAATTCGCCTGAGATCAAGTCTGCCTTGGAAATCCATTTGACACTTTATATGTCAGCTAGTTATTTTTGTTTATTCTATTAAGTGTAAAATCTAAACGCACAAAAATTGTATAGTAGAGTTCAATACAGGTCAATACAAAATCGAAAATTTTATTGTCAAGAATGCCAGCCCAGACGTTCAAAGAATATCTTATTTGTGGTCTGGTTTCTCTAATTATATCAGTATTTTCTTTTGCATAATAATGTGATTTTTTTTCTTAATAAATGTACCAGAATTTGTAAATAAAGATTCATTCATCCATAAAATTTTTCTAGAAAAAAAGGTCTCTCTCGAACACTTTTCCGAAACCATTTGCAAAATTGTAAACTTCTCTCGTGATCACCAGCATGTAAAAAAATGTGAATTTGGTACACATTTAAATTTAAAGTTGTGATATTTATGTTCTTTGATAATTTTTCCTACATAAAAATCACTTCACAACAGTCGCGACTTATTTTATGGCTAAAAGTTTCCGGATTTATTTCAGTCTGAGCTGGCACAAAGAGAGTAAACAAAAATTAACTTGCTGTCATATTAAGTGTCAATTGGATTTCCAAGGCTACTGGATCTTTTGAGCGAATTTTTAAAAATTTATTTTTATTTAGCGTATGGCGTACATGGATTTAATTACAACATCAAATGTATATATTCAAACACAATATAACATTTAAACAGATTGTCACAAATTGTAAAAATAAAACTAGATATTTAAAAAGTTATACACAAAACATATTACAAAAACTACACTTAAATTTTAAAATCTAGGCTATTGATCCAGTTCAACACGGTGTCTGTGGCTTCAAAGAAATCACTCGCTTCTCCTCCATATGCTGTAAGAGGGCATTCAGTTACAATGTGATGAACAGTTTGACGTGGTTCTCCGCAGTCACAAGTCGGTGATCCGGTCAGTCCCCATTTATAAAAAGAATCACGACATATGTCATGAGACGTTCTTACCCTGTTGAGTACCTTCCACTCGTGGCGGGGCAGCTCCATCCCTGGTAGAGCTGCTGTAGGGTCGATGACATAAGCTGCTTGATCTGGTTTCAAAGAGTCCCAGTACTCCCTCCATTTATCATTTATACTGAAGTTTTCTCCCAAAAGTTGTTCTGCTAATAGTAGTGCGGGGGATCTAGACTTCAGTCTTCGCAGACGGGGATCTGGCAAGTCGTTGTGGACTGGAAGATGGGGATTTGATAATATTTTCTGATATTCCTTAACGAGTCTTTCCTGTCTTCGAATACTGGGAGGGGCAATATGACTCAGTGAGCAGCCAAGGTAGAGGTGTGCTTTTTAAACAGCCGCTGACTATTCTCATAGTCTCATTAAGTTTGGTGTCAATTATCTTTACGTGACAGCTGTTTAGCCAAACTGGAGCGCAATATTCAGCAACTGAGTAAACTAGGCTGAGAGCTGATGTTTTAAGAGTGGATGCGTTTGCGCCCCAAGTAGTACCGCAAAGTTTGTGTATTATATTATTTCTAGTAGCTATTTTAGCTGCGGTATTCTCTAGATGCCTTTTATACGAGAGTGTTCGGTCCATTGTTACTCCTAGATATTTTGGATAAGGGTTATAACGTAGCAAGTTGTTATTGAAGTATACTTGGGGCTCCAGGCGTGCTTGATTACACAGGCCGACAAAAAAAAATTTTTTCGATGTAACACAAAGCTCAATAGGATATTGTGGTAGAATGAACCTATCTAATCACGAAAGTGGCAAAAAAAAGTCGTAACACGTAAGGTTTTTTTGTTACATTAATAAAACATCATTCAATATTACAATATTCAATATATTAAGATAGCTATTCAAAACATGATTTAAGAACTTCTTAAGCCTATATACCGATTATATTTTATAGTTTACACTCCTCAAACATTACTTATACCTAAAAAGTACAAAAACAATCGAAACGAGATCAAAACATAAACAAAAACTTTTACTTTTTCCTTTTATGAGGGACCGCGTCTTCTCTCTTCAAAAACCAACAGTAATCACCCATCATGGCTGGATCCCATCGTCCTTGATAACGAATTTCCATTGTCCTTATGTCTTGATGGAATCTCTCACCTTGCTCATCACTGACAGCACCCATATTTTCAGGGAAAAATGACAAATGAGAATGGAGAAAGTGAATTTTTAAAGACATTCGGGCACCAAGCGATTTATAAGCATCTAAAAGCTCATTAACCAATTGTTCGTAGTTCGCATCCTTATTGTTTCCCAAAAATCCCCTCACTACACTAACAAATGAGGTCCATGCTCTGAGTTCCTGCCTGGTAAGCGTGTCTGTGAAATTTGTGTCGTCCAACAATTTCCTGATTTGTGGTCCAATAAAAATACCCTCTTTCAATTTGGCATCACTCAACTGGGGAAAGACTTGCCTTAGGTATTTAAATCCATCACCTTCTTTATTCATAGCTTTCACGAAGTTTTTCATGAGGCCAAGTTTGATATGAAGAGGAGGCAGGAGGACGTCTTTGGGGTCTACAAGAGGGATATACTTGACATTTTGGGAACCCGGTTGAAATTCACTTCTTTCTGGCCAAATTTTCTGTACATAATGATGATTTACTGCACGACTGTCCCACAAACAAAGAAAACAGCAATATTTTGTAAATCCTCCCTGAAGTCCCACTAAAATTCCTATAACTTTCAAGTCCCCACATATCTGCCATTTATACCTGTTGTAGTTGATTCTATCTAAAAGCATGCGCATATTTTCATAAGTTTCCTTCATTGTCACTGAATGGGCAACTGGTATAGAGGGTTTTAAATTTCCGTTATGCAATAACACAGCTTTTAGGCTATATTTCGACGAATCTATGAATAAGCGCCACTCACAGGGAGAATGTTCTATAGAAAGTTCCTGCATTAAGCCATCGATATCAGTACATGCACACAACGAATCCTCCATACTGTAGAATGCAGAGAACGGAGCATTTCTTTTTCTAAAAGTGGTGATTTTTGTTTCATTGGCTAACAGATTCCATTCCTTAAGCCGGGATCCAAGAAGTTCTGACTGCTGCTTTGATAACCCCAAGTCACGCACTAAGTCATTCAACTCGCTTTGAACAATCAAATGTGGCTTGTCGGAACCGCCCTCTGGGGTAAAGGTAGGATCAGTACACTGGTCTCCAGAGCTGTTTGATTCAATATCTTCCTTATCTTCCAAAACAATACCTTGCCAGTCTAAGGGCGCGATCGGCACTGGGAGATCTGCACCATGAAGAACAGGTCGTATGGCAGACGGCAAATTGGGATACTCGATCTTGTGCTTTTGTTTTTTGGAAAAACCTTCAGTTTTCGTCAGGCAAAAATAGCAATCGTCAAAATGGTTAGTTGGTTCTCGCCATACCATTGGAACCGCAAATGGCATTTTTTCCTCTTCCCTTTCATCCACTGCACAAGCGACACGCTACAAGTAACGCAGCACACATGAGGAGCCCACTGCTTGTCTTGATCTCCAACCAAACTCCAAAATACTTGAAGTAGGCTTTCTTCACATTTTCAGAAAATGGTCTGGCTTGTGATTGCACCATAAATTCTCCACAAATGTAACAAAATCGATCAGGAGACACTTTACAACTGCGGCGCGTTTGACTTGACATTTTCGTACTATTTATCTACACGCATAGAACAACTCACGTCGAAAATCAACTGAAAACTGAACTCTCTTATGTTTTTCACAATATATTATAGTGCACAAAATGCGTCCCTTTCAATCATCCCATCATAAAATTTACCTGTATGTAAACGAATCTACCTAGACTTAATACCTGACATCTATAAAATTGACTACCTGCAAAAAAGAGGCGTAATTAGGCAACTGAAAAGTGGTACGTGTAGGAGCTTCAGGAGTATTTTTTCTGTTATTAGAAGCATATTTTTATGAAGAAATTCTGCAACTGACTCGTGTTACAAAAATCATGTCGGCCTGTGTTATTATTGAGATGAAAGCACGACACTTCAGTTTTATTCATATTTGGGATTAGTCTCCAGTTTGCGAAATATTTTCCCAGTACAGATAGGTTTTCTGATAGTAGGCCATTAGCTTCCTCTATAGTTTTACTGCGGATGGCAAGAGCTAAATCGTCGGCATGCCCAAATTTTGTTGACGTTGTATGTGGAATGTCGGAGATATATAGATTAAACAGTACCGGTGCGAGTACCGAGCCTTGAGGGAGCCCATTATTAAGGTGTCTTATTTTACTCCTGTTTTTTCCTGTTATTATTTGGAAGGGCCTGTCACACAGCATGTTGTTTAATAGAGATGCTATTCTACTGCATGGTACTACGTTGAGGAATTTGTATAGAAGACCTTCTCTCCAGACCGTGTCATACGCCGCAGTCAAGTCAACATACACCACAGTGGTCTTCTGCTGTTTTTGGAATCCTGCTTCAATGTGTATTGTTAGGCTGAGTACCTGGTCCACACAGCTACGATGCGGTCTGAATCCAGCCTGTTCAACAGGAGTATGTTCCAATATCAATGGGCCTATTCGGTTTAATAGCATACGTTCTAGAAGTTTGTAGCATGAACTTAATAAGGCTATTGGGCGGTAGCTTTCAGGCACGTTCTTAGGTTTGTTTGGCTTTAGAACTGCAACTATTTTGGATTTCTTGAGCTCTATTGGAATATGCCCTGTTAGTAGGATATCGGAATAGAATTTACTCAGCCACATTCTTGTATGTTTCCCGCAGTTTTTGAGGAATTCGGGGCGAATTCCATCGAATCCAGGAGCTTTACCAGATTTGGTGTTTTCCAGTGCTTTATCGACTTCTTCCACAGAGAATGACTTGGCGTATTCAGAGTGGGCACTTGCTTTTTGGCGGCAGATTGTCAGTTGTTTTTTAATATTTGCGTTTTGTTGTTTGCTGCTAGGGGCCTTAGAGAGTGTTATCACTTTTGCAGCGATTTGGTCTGCTGATACTTCCGGTGGTTCACGAGTGGGTGGGTTAGAGCTGCCCAGTTTCCTCAGAAGGCTCCAAGCCCCCTGCTAGATTTTTTGAAATCCATTCTACCTGTCGTTTCTTCCCATTTTTTACAGCGTTCTATATCAAGACGATAAGGAGCTCGTCTGCTATCTCAGAGTCTCCGTTGTTCTGAAATTCCTGATAGAGCTGTTCCATGTCGTCGCTCCATCCTGGGACATATTCCTTTCGAAATCCACGTGGTATACACTTTTTTGCTGTTGTTATAACGGCTTTGCCAAATCTACCATAATTGTGGCTTTTAGGAGGGATCCATCTGACGACTTTGTCCAACTCCATAGCGAATTTGTCCCATTGGGCCTTTCCAAAATTCCACCTAGGCCTGGGTGTAGAATGGATTATCGGAATTTTAATTCCAGTTTCGAGAACTATGGGGCGATGTTGACTGTGCGGGAAGTCATCCAGAACTTTCCTCGACATTGATATAGGACGTTTTTTGGCATTATCTGAGACAAAACACAGGTCTGGGTTTGTTTCAGTGTTCCACGCAGCTGATCTGAAAGAGTTTCGTTCTTTGGCATCAAAAATTAGGTGAAGATCATGTGAATCAGCCCAGCTCGCAAGGCGATCGCCATTTTCATCAGTGGTTCGATATTTCCAAGCAGTGTGATGGCTATTGAAGTCGCCTGCATATATTGCAGGGTGTGGAGAGACATTTAGGACATTATCAGGCCAGGATGTTTGAGGTGGCTTATAGGCATTAACGACGGTAATGTCAGCTATTTTTGTTACTACTTGGTGGATGTTTGAGGTTACTGTAGAATTTAATAATATAGCGTTTTCGATGTCATTCCGAACGTAGGTTGCGACTCCATATGAGCGGTGGTAGGTAGCTCCAAGTAGGTCAAAACCATGAATTTTGCCTCTGCGACGTTGCTGGTCTTCACTCTCTATATGGGTTTCCTGGATAACAGCCATGTCAATCTTTTGGTCTAGCAAGAGTTTCGTAATGTACTCGCTTTTAGCTCTGCTAAGACCTTCGGCGTTTAATTGGCAAATTCGAATTGTTTTTCCGAGATTTTTTGTCAATTGGTCCTGAGGAGGGCCGTGTTTGGAAGATTTTCGAATATATGAATCCATGTATAGTAGCCAGGAGATCCGGAGATATTGTCTGGCTGCTGAGGGTCGCACAAAAAAAAGTCGTTTTTAAAAAATCTATTTTTTAGTGAATTTACATAATAATGAATAAAAGTTAGATACCAACGTATAGATTATTTTTTGCTCTATCTAATAGTATAAAAATTCAAAATGGCGGCCATAAGCTTGACTGCTGTTGTGCGAAATCTAGAAGGCTTAGAAATTTTCTGAAAACGACATTTAATTGGCCGAGGTCAAAAATATAAAACTGCTAACTTACGTTCCAATAGATACAATAGTTCTGAAGATATTGTCATTTAGTATAAATGTATTATTTTCATTTTTTACATAAATCCGAAACTAATCGAGATACCGGGGTTTTCTTCGTAGGTGTTTGTCAAACTTCTAATTACGCAACTCTTGTCCCATTTATTTAACCGAATTCGTATCTCTCGTAGTTTCTGAGATCCTGAGATGCCAATGTTGAGCATCGAAATTGTCACCACCTTATAACCTCCCCAAACACCTTGACATGGAACAATGCCGAAAGCGCTACGCAGCACCAGAGGCAGCACTAAAGAATGCTGGCTGGAGCAACCCCCTCTCGGATATGGAGTGTGTATATATCTGGAAATACCAGGTCTCGATTGACACCGACCTGAACCTGAAGAAATGCTGCAGAACCACCATCAGTAAAATCAACAAAAAATTCCTGGCAAGCTTTCAAGAAGGGTGGGGGAAAACATGATATACGGAAGGCTCGTCAACAACGAGGATAGAATATCGTTTCCGGCATACAGGTCTCCTAATCTGGACACGTGGCGCAGAGGAATGATCCTAACGGCAGCAGAAGAACGGGTCCACGGACTGGCATCGCAGCCCTTCCGGAGAAGGTGCCGAAGAGCCTGTCTCTTGCAAGATTTTTTGGAACGCTAAGTGTCGGTTCTGGGTCCACGAATGGCGAACCTGCACCTGTTTTGGCGTGGAAATCAGCACGTTCGTTTCTCTCTAGGCCTACATGTCCCGGTATCCATATTAGCGACACTTTGTTCCTATCTATACTAATATCAAAGATATATACTAATCACTAATATATAAAATCCTTAAGTGACTGACTCACTGATTAATCACGATCCTGCTCAAACCACTCAACGTAAGAAGCTATATTTTGGCATACAGGTTGATTCTAGGGTGTAGGGGTTCGATAAGAAGGTTTTTCGACATTCCAGTTCCAAGGGGGTGAAACCACCCCTCAAATATTACAATATTTTCTCTTTAAAAAACGGTCAAGTTTCCAAAAAAACGCTTAAACACGTATATTTTATTTTGTTTTTTACATATTTTAATATTTTTTTTAAATGTATACAGGGTGTTTCGAAAAATTTGGTCATTGATTAATCAAAACTAATTTTTGCAAAATGGATTGACTTTAGGGTGTAGAGGTTCGATAAGGAGGGATTTTTCGAAACTCGACATATCACAGCCACCCTAGATTTTATCAAATAATAAAGATCTACTCAGATCAAATCATGTAAATGAAAGGCAACCTTAATAGTATTTTAAAGAGACATGAATTCTCCATTTAAAGGTGACCAATGTTTAATATTAATTTTGTCTCACCCTATATAACTTTTTGAATCAAGTTTTAATTTGATTTAAAGTACAATAGTTAATTTAACTACATATTAGGCTATACCGGGTAAATTCCAATATAGGTAGCTTTTAATGTAATTTAAAAATTGTTCTTTATTTCAAGAGAGTGTTAAATATGTCAAAAACCTTACATTTTAGTCATATACTTCTCTTATAAAACTCACCTTCATTTTTCTCCCAGAATCCAAAAATCAATTAATATATAGGGTGTTCCATTACAAAAAAACACAACTTTGATATGTAACTTTTTTTGGGGACACCCTGTAAAACTCTCTATATTTTTAAAAAGTGCTCTGAATTCTGAATTAACCTACATATGCTCACAAAATTTCGTTTCAGTACAAACTGTCGTTCTCCTTGGAGCCTCCGCGGCGTATGAGAGGCGCCACCCTGTATATAGACATTCTCTATTCGCAAAAAAATCGTATTTTAAATTTCAATGCAGAGTGCAGTAGTTGTGTTAAAAACATTAATTTTTAATCAAGGAGCCTTGGGAAAATAGATTTGATCGTCTAATGTTTTTCGTGTCTTGTCCTGACAGATTAAAAGAGACCCAAATCGTATTTTTAATCATATCTCATTTTTTCAAATGGAACGAGAGTTCATTAGCATATTTGGAAAATGCATTTTTTACGAATAATTTGGTACCACACACTTGGTATTTCGAATCAAATTGTCGTTATGAAACGCATGTTACAATTTCAAATAAACTATATACGAAAATGTTAAAAGTTGACATATGATATTATGTCAGAGGGTCATTTCATCAGAGGGTCATTTTCTATCGAATAAAGTAAAAAAATACCGAAGGTGTCATTTAAAAATCAGAAGTTGTAGTAATTTCCGGTGAAACAGGCAGCGACCAAATACAATTGAATGCATCAATCAATCCTGATTTATGTAATTATATGCTAACGTACCAAATCTTATCTGAAAAAATACCAACGCTTAAACAAGTATATTTTATTTTGTTTTTTTACATATTTTAAGGTTTTTTAAAAATGTATACAAGGTGTTTCGAAAAATCTGGTCTTTGATTAATCACGATCCTGCTTAAAACGCTTGACGTAAAAAGCTGATTTTTGAAAAACGGATTGACTTTAGGGTGTAGAGGTTCGATAAGAAGGGATTTTTCGAAACTCGAATTCTAAGGGGGTGAAACCACCCCTTAAATAGAATATTTTTAGGGATTTTTCGAAATTCCAGTTCCAAGGGGGTGAAACCACCCCTCAAATATTAAAATATTTTTTATTTAACAAATTGTCAAGTTTCCGAAAAAATGCTTAACACGTATATTTTATTTTGTTTTTTACATATTTTAAGATTTTTTTTTAAATGTATACAGGGTGTTTCGAAAAATTTGGTCACTGATTAATCAAAACTAATTTTTGCAAAACGGATTGACTTTAGGGTGTAGAGGTTCGATAAGAAGGGATTTTCGAAACTCGAATTCTAAGGGAAAGAAACCACCCCTCAAATATTAGAATATTTTTTAATTAAATACCTGTGAGTTTTTCGGAAAAACTCTTAAACACGTATATTTTATTTTGTTGTTTTACATATTTTAAGATTTTTTTAAATTTATACAGGGTGTTTCATGAAATATGACCATTGAGTAATCACGATTCTGCTTAAACTGCTTGACGTTTAAAACTGATTTTTGGCAAACGGATTGACTGTGGGGTGTAGAGGTTCGATAAGGAGGGGTTTCTCGAATTTCAAATTCCAAGAGGGTGAAAACGCCCCTCAAATATTACACTATTTGTTATTTAAAAAACGGTTAGGCTTTCGGGAAAATGCTTGGACACGCATAATTTATTTTGTTTTCTTACATATTTTGAAATTTTTTAAAAAATCATACAGGGTGTTCCAAAAAGTTGGGTAATTGATTAACCACGATTCTGCTTAAACTGCTTGACGTAAAAAGCTTATTTTTGGCAAACGGATTTTTCGAAAGTGAAATTCCAACGAGATGAAACTACCCCTCAAATATTACCAAGCAATTTTTTCTCATGCTGACATAAATGTGAGAAAATTTTATCCAGTTTGTATGTTAATGGAAATTCCTGCTTTGCTTTATCATCACCATTACAAATGATTAATTCGACGCGAACGAAGTCGCGGGTACACGCTAGTCTCTTAATGAATTGAGTAGTTTCCTATAATGAGGAATCGTCGTAGACGTGCTTTTCGTTGCCTCAAATGCTTTCAACGCGGCTTGAATGCTTATTGTTTTCCCGGTGGTATCTGGTTCTATTAGCAGATGCACACAGATTCAATAGCATATAGCTCAGCTTGGAAAACTGAGGTGTGTTTTCCACGCCTGTGGTAGATCTCAGTCTTTGGACTGCTGAAGTAAATTCCTGCGTAGATCCTTTTTCGGTCTTGGATCCGTCCGTGTACCAATATATCCGCAGAGAAATTTTTATGATTTTGAGTTTGGAGAGGCTTCTATATATTGAATGTTTTGTTGTTTTTTTTTTATAAGTGATTTCAAGTAAAAAAACTTCACTTGAGAATAAGGTGTATATAAGGGATTGGACAGGAATGAATGTTTAAACACAGAACAGCAGAAAGGCAAGAAGAATTCGCTGTGGTTATCGACAATCTTCTGTGAGAAGAGATGCCTGAAGAAGAAGAAGATTAGTGAGTTTAAAAATAAATAATATACATTTTCAGGTATATATATATCACTGTTTCAGGTTTTCTGTCACGCATTGTTGTTACTAGTTCCACCGAATACCTATATACATGTGGAGACCTATCATTAATATCACCATAACTGCAAAATGCACTTTCTCATGAGTCACGAACAAATCCGGAATCGCACGACCTTACCTGACCGCTTAAAAAATTTTTACCTGTCCCGCATTTACGCGAACAGACCTAGCAGGCCAACATTGTGCTTTCATCTTTCGCTGATCTTAACCCAATTTCGAATGGAATTTATCAACAGAAACTCGCATTATTCGCAGCTGACAAACTCGATTTTATAAGATTTACGTGCGTCTAGCTAAACCTTATTACCCAGACTTAAATTAATCAAAAGTGCCGAGTGATTTTTTTGTGAAACGCAACAAGAAAAGAAGAATAAAAGTAACCAAAAAGTGAATATAACGTTAGATGAACTGTAGAATTCAAGGATTTCTGGTTCAGTGCTTTAGTTTGTGCTTGACCGTTCCGTCGTGGGTTTGCAGCGAGCGCGTTGCTTTTTAGCTTTCGTTGTAATAGTTGTTGGATAAAAATACTAACAGGAAATTTCTTCAAAATGCGTATCCTATAGGTATGTACTAAGCCAAGTTTAGTTAAGTAATGTACAAGGTGCTTAAAAAATAAAAGTTGATATTGAATCATTTTTTATTGTTTGTATATATAGGGCTACCTTTATAACAGTATTTACGAAGCAAATTATTGCCTTTAATAAATTTATTTTTGCTGAACAATTAAATTTACAATACATCAATAAATCGAAAACTGGTCGTTAATAGTAATCGTTAACTATAGAAATAACAGAACCGTTCCTCTGTGTATTTAGCAATTAATAATTTACCAACATTGTGACATGGTAATTAGCAGGTGGTATCTAACAACTCAATATTTTTTTTCGACATTCTGTTCAAGCTTTTTATCAAATATACAGGTTTATCAAATATATACAGGTCTTAAATAAGTGCAAATATTTTCAGGGCTGCTGGTCGTAGATCTCGATAGAAGAAACATTAACCGAGTTATTTTACTTTGAAAATTAAAAAAAAATTTTGGTCATATTTTGAGAACCATGCACTGAGGTTTTTTGGGGTTTCTTTTTTTAACTTTATTCTACTACCTATGTTGCAATAATATCAAGTTATTTTGTTTTTTAACTAAAAACTAAAAAAAAACAAATTTTTTTTTCGAAAAAGAAAATAAAAAAAAATTCGCGAAAAAATTTTATGGATGTGTTTCTGGGGTCGAAATATGCTACCCTTAAAATATTTGCACTTATTTACGACTCACCCTGTAGTTATAAGCATATTTTGTACTGAATTCCAATATGTTCGATTTCTTTCGAAAAAAAAACATTAAATGAACATAATATTTTGTAAAAAAATTGGCGCCGGGAGGCACGTATAGCCGCCCATACTAAATTATGTTAATAAAAAGTTGGTTGGCAGTTCTTTTAGTTTCAAAGTAAAGGAATTTTTGCAATTTTTTTTATCTCAAAAACTGCGACTTTGGCTGATTTTGATGTTATTACAAATTTTGTTGCAAATATTATTCCTAATCTTAAATTGAAAACCGCGTTTCGCTAGCTACTGTAATTTTGGAGTTATGATTTTTTAAAATTTTTAACCCCCCTCATTCCTCCTTATCAAAAACTAATGGCCAGATTCTCGCGTGCCACAGTATTTTTGTGCCAAATTTGGTTAAAATCGGTTTAGCGGTTTTTGAGTTATCGTGTTACAGACAGACAGACGGACAGACAGACAGACACACAGACACCATGAAAATATTTTGTATTTAGGTCATTTATGACCCATTTTGAGTGAAATTAAAAAAAAACTTTTTTTTTGCCGATCTTAATAGCCTACCATGCCTGTTGGTATGGTCGGCTAAAAAATTGAAATTAGTTACCAATGATATGACGTTGATATACAAGATTTAAATAAGTGCAAATATTTTCAGAGCTGGTAGATCTCACAGAGATCCAAGAGAGAAAGAGAAACTCTCTTTCAGAGCTGGTATATGGTATACATGTTGAAAGAAACTTATTTACTCTTTGTCGTTTTTTAAATAAGTCCAAAATAACCGAGTTATTCAAGTTTGAAAATTAAAAAAAAAGTTTGAGAGCCACCGGGTTTTTTTCTGTATCATCATATTTTAGTGCCGTAACAATGGTAACAATAACAATATCAGAGATTAACAAATTATATTGTGGAAAAATTTGCGATGAACAGACAGTTCCAAAAAGTTTTCTAAAACATACACGAAAATTTAAAAGAAAATGCACGATTTTCAACATCCTTTTTGCGAAAAAAAGTCATAGACGTGTTCCTGAGGTTGAAACATACCACCCCTGAAAATATTTGCACTTATTTAAGACTCACCCTGTATAAAAACAATTCTTCTACAAAATTCAACTACAATTTGTTTACTCACAGGTAGGGAATGCAATCCCGCACCAAAATCTCAATCCCGCAAACCCGCGGGATTAAAGCAATCAATCCCGCGGATCCGCAAAATTGCGGGATTGTAAACAATAAATGCTCTTCTTTTCTCTCTCCGATTTTGGGATGAAGTTTGGACCAGGTTTTAGACGCATCGATTGTGATTAAGATGCTATGTGGTTTTCGAGAATATATTTAGCGAATTCTCGTATACAGAGTGTTTTATAATAGTGTACAAATTTGGTTAAGATTTTTTTTTACGGAAAATTTACAATTTTTGAAAAATCGAAATTTTAACTATGTACGACTAATCTGTATCTTTGAATAAGAAGACTAAGGAAGGAGCATAATGCTATCCATGTATTCATGCATGGTGGGCGGAAAAGCCACCATAAAAGCTCTCTAGGGTGGGGATCCTTGACAGTTCTGTTTGACGATTCATTTGACACATTTGAATTTGATTTGAAATTTTGTGGATTTGTCAGTCTTTACGGAGCTTATTTTATGTTATTTATTATTTATTCTACTACTGATAGTTGTATAAAGGTAGTAAATCTAGATGGAAATTGTGGCAGAACTTAAATTAACAGTGACACTATCGCGATTTATCGAAAAAGACTCTAAAATAGTTGGTTGTGTAGCGTGCGGTAGATCTAGGCAAAAATTGAGTGAAATAATGGAACAACTTTTCGCTAGTAAGTGACTATATAATATACATACGTGTAGTAAACCGATCATTATGAAATTCACTTAAATTAACTAAATTATATATTTTTCTTGCATTTTAGCTTTTATTTATTACTTGTCAAAGATTAGATGTCAAAGAATTTAGATACGTTAATTTGACTTTACCTGCTTCAGTAGCGTATCGGATGTTTGTGTTAATAAATACTTATTATAACTTATCTATTTTTATTAGAATTATATATTTTATAACAATTTTAATAACTACCAACATTTATTCACAACGTAAAATAAAACAGCAAATTATTGAGTCTACCCCACGTCTACCCTACATCATAGTTTTACATTTTTTAAATAAAATTAGAACGACACTGATAAACCGGAATTTAAGTCGGCCATATTTGAGGCCCATCGCGGTGTACCTAAGATTTTTGATATGCTCCTTCCTTAGTCTTCTTATTCAAAGATCTGTATTGAAATTAGAAAAAACAATTTGGTGTTTTTTTTTTAATTTTTCGTTTTAAGGAAAATACGAGTTTTTTTCGGAAAATATGCATTTATAGTCTTACATTTGGTCCTAAATGGTACAAAAGGCATTGTACATTTTGCATAGGCCCACAATATATTGATATAGCGTGTATCTTAAACTAGCTGAACAGAAATTTGGACTGATGTATACAGGGTGTTCAAAAAATATATTTAATATTAAATAAACTTAAATTTTATTATAATTTATCTACTTATTTTATAAATAAAAGTATTATTCTGATGTTGAAGGTTTTTTTTCAATTTGTGTTAGTTATCTGCTTTTAGATACACTCTATATCAATAATTTTTTGGCATATGCAGAATGTACAAAGCTTTTTGTACCATTTAGGACCATCATATGACTAAAAATGCATATTTTTCGAAAAGACGTCGTATTTTCCTTAAAACAAAAAAAAATAAAAAACCGATCAAATTGTTTTTTCTAATTTCAATACAGATCAGTCGTACTTAGTAAAAATTTCGATTTTTTAAAAACTGCAAATTTGCGGTAAAAAAGATTCTTAACCAATTTTTCACACTCTTATAAAACACCCTGTATACGAGAATTCGCTAAATATATTTTTGAAAATCACATAGTATCTTAATCACAATAGATGCATCTAAAACCTGGTCCAAACCGCATCTCAAAATATTTTTTAGTTCAAGAGATATTCAACTTTAAATTTACCCTAAAATTTTGCTTGTCCCGATAATTATGTCCGGCAGTTTATTTGACGAAATTGTCCACTAGTAGTACTAGTTAAACGCCTTTCTTCACTTACGCACGCCAGAAAGAAATCTAATAACTAACCTGTTTGTTTCACTTATTTTTAATGGCCAAGCCGTAAGGGGAATCCCCTGGTGTCAATCCCGCAGATCCCGCACGGTAAATCCCGCAAATTTGATCCAGCGGAATCACAGAGGGAGCCCGCATTTACGGGATCCAGCATTTGCGGGATTGTATTCCCTACTCACAGGGTACTTAATCATAAAACTTTGATCACACTGTATGTTAGATTGATAACTTATGCAAGTTATTAACTTCATATTTTTCAATTAGTGTACAGGCTGTCCACGTTACCATTTTTCGCTGTCCTTGTCAGATACCCCTCAGTTATTGCTGAAGAATATGTTGAAGAATATACACTGTGTCAATTTTAAAACTTTAACCTACCCAAACCCACCTTTAATATCTTTCTTGCAGTTAAAAATATGAAAAATCGGAAAGACACGTCAATTTTATTTGTAAGGGGGACACTTTAAATGAATATTTTTAGTATTTTTCTTTCAACCACCTAGGAGGAGTCACCCTCATAATCTTATATGGGAATGGCGGTCAGGTGGCAGATTGTTTTAAAGGGCGTTTAATTCTCTTTTCAGTGGATATCCTACTTTGTTGCTTTTTGTCCAGAGGTTTCCGAATAATTGCGTTTCAAAGTTGCAGAAACAATTAAACATGCCTGCATTGAGATTTTGGTTTTCAGGCTAGTGTTTACACAAAAATTATTGCAATGGATCTCCTTGAAGTACAAATGATTAGAAGATTAGGTTACACCACTTAGACCCTATCTTATAAGTTGTTCAAAATATTGTCCATTTTCGTGTAAACCAAAGACATCTAAATAAAAGGAGACGAAACAATTTACATTTTACCGCGAACCGTGTTGCACAAAAATCGATGATGCCAATTTTAAGTGACCGGTGGTAGATTTCAGCTAATTACGGTTTGAGTTCTAAATGCTATTGTCATTACAAGGTCATTAGACTAAATATTTGTGTGTTCTGTCTACCTATATTTAGATGTCTTTGGTGTAAACCAATAATAAAGTCTGTTTTCAAACTAGTGATGGGTTGTTATTTAACTATCTGTTATTTTATAACAATTATTTAGATATAACATAACGCACAACCGTTACTACTTTTA